TTAGATGATATCATTGTTTATCATGAGATAGGTAACGTATATTGAACGTATGTAAAACAGATCCACTACACCACAACCAATTAGCTTCAAAATCTTCCCATGTTTCAGTTTTATATTTCCCTCTCTTTTTTGCGAAAATATTGCTACGTAGTTGTTTTTTAAACTTGAACACCTCTCAATAGGTTGCTTTTATTCGTTGCATTGAATTTTAAGTTGAGCAGCACCATGTATGCTAATGACTCTACACCAACATACACGACTTCAGGAAAACGATATGAGAAATACACCAAAGGAGGATGGTGGGAGTGTCTTTGTCTCAAAATGGAACATTTTAACGTCACTATGTCCAAATTGTACAACATATTTAAATGAGTTATTTAAATATGCAAATTAGATTTTGTCCGATATTTCCGGTCTACGCTAGATCAGATACCACATATATATAGTAATTAACAAGAACTAGAAAGGTAAGTTTTTAATTTGCGAGTGATTGGAACATAAATAACTGCATATTTACTCATTGCCTTTTTTATTTCTATTGTTTGTGTGAGTGTGTGAGGGTGTGTGTGTGTGTGTGAGGAGCGTAAAAAACTGCCATTACATCTGTGATGAATAAAGTTAGAGAATGTTAACTTGCGGGGATTCGAGACTTGAAGCTCACAGTTAATTCTGTCACAAAGGGACAAAAAAAAATCTTCTGATCCATCCGTATCATTAACTGCTCCGTAATGCAAGTGTTTTATTCATTTTGCGCAAAAACATACCTTGTTCCAATTAAAAGCACATATGATGACGTTTGACGGCGCTTATCTCGGACGTTTGCTGTGTTAGACGTGTGTATGATGACTCTTAAAATGCTCGACATATGTTTATTTGCGACGCTTATCTCGGACGTACGTGATGTTTGACTCGTGTATGACGACTCCTATCTGTGAGGTATGTACATTAGGTTCGACGCATGCACGATGTCGCTGCCTGTGGTATCATTACCTACATTCCAGTCCGTTTTTTCTCTCGCCATGTATGTATCCTCTCTCGCAGAACGTAGCACGTGAGAAATATAGTTGCTAGTGGTTTGGCATGGAATGCCCTGAACATAGGCAACGTAGATATCCGTGCAAGCAACGGGACGAGAAAGATGTCTGTCGCAATTATGCGAACATAAAAAGACTGTTGATGCGCGTGTTGTCCACAATAACATTCGCGGCAGTCTGTGTATACACGTGTTGGTCTTTATCGAGCTTCATTAAGTAGAAAACATTGGTAGGAAATCAAACAAGATATTCTGGAATGCTAAACTGTTTAGACAGATTTTTTAGCATACGATGCTATCTGTCTTGAATAATACACAGACATAAAAAGGTGCATTTGACATTTATGTAAACATGTCAAAATGACTTGATGATCCGACATCCTTTAAACAAACAACATGCTCTTGCCCCCAAATCTTCTATTGCAGATTTGATACGACGGAAACCAATATCGATCACAGTAGGGAGTTTAGTATGGTTGTTTTGCTTGTTAAAACAAAAACATACTTTTAATTTAAAGCCGAAAACAATATCATGATTACATAGTGTAAAATTACAACATTTTTAAATGAAGATTTTTAAAGATGTCCACATGCTAGGTCAATTGGTGATATTTGAATTAAGTTTTACTCATCAATATTCATCAGGAGATACACGACGACGACGATAAATGACGACGACGACGACGATGACGATAATGGTGATGTCGTTGTTGTATATCTCTATAGGCCAGGCTTTTATCAGTATGTTCAACTGTATATCTTTATAAACAAAACTTTCCTCAACAGAATAAGAAGCATACTGTATACCTTTATAAACCAGACCTCTATACACAGGTCGTACTGTACATCTCTATAAACCAGACCTCTATTCACAGGTCGTACTGTACATCTCTATAAACCAGACCTCTATACACAGGTCGTACTGTACATCTCTATAAACCAGACCTCTATACACAGGTCGTACTGTATACCTTTATAAACCAGACCTCTATTCACAGGTCGTACTGTACATCTCTATAAACCAGACCTCTATACACAGGTCGTACTGTACATCTCTATAAACCAGACCTCTATTCACAGGTCGTACTGTACATCTCTATAAACCAGACCTCTATTCACAGGTCGTACTGTACATCTCTATAAACCAGACCTCTATACACAGGTCGTACTGTACATCTCTATAAACCAGACCTCTATACACAGGTCGCACTGTACATCTCTATAAACCAGACCTCTATACACAGGTCGTACTGTACATCTCTATAAACCAGACCTCTATACACAGGTCGCACTGTACATCTCTATAAACCAGACCTCTATACACAGGTCGTACTGTACATCTCTATAAACCAGACCTCTATTCACAGGTCGTACTGTACATCTCTATAAACCAGACCTCTATTCACAGGTCGTACTGTACATCTCTATAAACCAGACCTCTATACACAGGTCGTACTGTACATCTCTATAAACCAGACCTCTATACACAGGTCGTACTGTATACCTTTATAAACCAGACCTCTATTCACAGGTCGTACTGTACATCTCTATAACGCAACTTTTTATAAGATTTTCCATGAGACAAATCATGTTAGACACTTCGTACTAGATCGCAGTGCATCTCCTAACACCAGAGCTTCTGACAACAGGGGTTTGTACAATACCCATAGACAGGTTCCCAACAATCGTATGTAGCAATAATTTCCTTTATTCCTCATATAACTGTACATGTGAAGCCTGTTTTATTTCGAAGCATTTTCGTCTGGTTGGTAATGTCAGTAGAATAGTATTTTCTTATTACACAACCAGCAGAAGATTCTATAAACGTTTCTATACACAGGTCACTTCATCTTATAACACAACCAGTAAAAGATCACAGGTGTGACGTTTGTACATTCACGGTCAACTTTTTACAACATTTTCCATGAGACAAATCATGATTGTGACGTTTCGTACTACACGGTCAGTGCATCTTACAACACAACCAGTGACAACAGGGGTGTGACAATACCCATAGACAGGTTCCTTACAACAAACGTATGTAGCAATAATTTCCTTTATTCCTCATATAACTGTACATGTGAAGCCTGTTTTATTTCGAAGCATTTTCGTCTGGTTGGTAATGTCAGTAGAATAGTATTTTCTTATTACACAACCAGCAGAAGATTAGATTGTGACGTTTCGATGACTACACGGTCACCTTCATCTTATAACACAACCAGTAAAAGATTAGAGTGTGACGTTTCGATGACTTCACGGTCACCTTCATCTTACAACACAACCAGTAGAAGATTAGAGTGTGACGTTTCGATGACTACACGGTCACCTTCATCTTACAACACAACCAGTAGAAGATTAGAGTGTGACGTTACGATGACTACACGGTCACCTTCATCTTACAACACAACCAGTAGAAGATTAGAGTGTGACGTTTCGATGACTACACGGTCACCTTCATCTTACAACACAACCAGTAGAAGATTAGATTGTGACGTTTCGATGACTACACGGTCACCTTCATCTTACAACACAACCAGTAGAAGATTAGATTGTGATGTTTCGATGACTACACGGTCACCTTCATCTTACAACACAACCAGTAGAAGATTAGAGTGTGACGTTTCGATGACTACACAGTCACCTTCATCTTATAACACAACCAGTAGAAGATTAGAGTGTGACGTTTCGATGACTACACAGTCACCTTCATCTTATAACAAAACCAGTAGAAGATTAGATTGTGACGTTTCGATGACTACACGGTCACCTTCATCTTACAACACAACCAGTAGAAGATTAGATTGTGACGTTTCGATGACTACACGGTCACCTTCATCTTATAACACAACCAGTAGAAGATTAGAGTGTGACGTTTCGATGACTACACGGTCACCTTCATCTTACAACACAACCAGTAGAAGATTAGAGTGTGACGTTTCGATGACTACACAGTCACCTTCATCTTATAACACAACCAGTAGAAGATTAGAGTGTGACGTTTCGATGACTACACGGTCACCTTCATCTTATAACACAACCAGTAGAAGATTAGATTGTGACGTTTCGATGACTACACGGTCACCTTCATCTGATAAACGACCAGTATGGAGCGTGGTAGCACTGACGCAAGTAGTGTACGAGATGATAAGGAATCGACCAATTTTTACCATCTCGTCACACTATTTTTTAACCATATTGCACATAGGATAATAGTACAGTCGAAAAAGTCGGCCGATTTCCTTACCATCTCGTATGCTACGTACGTAAATGCTAGTAAGCTCCACACTGGTCATTTGTCTGATGAAGGTGTATATTCATCGAAACGTCACACTCTAATCTTCTACTGGTTGTGTTATAAGGACTTCTATACAATTGAAGCATGTCTCCTTGGTTATCCTATACATGGCAAACTAATCTATATTCTCAAAATCGCAGTGAGATCACCATACAATGTTGACCTCAATTGGCTACGTACAATTATTAGAATGGGAACAAATAGTAGATACATCGGTGTCATATCGGCTGACGTCACACCAATATCACTGATGTACATTTTTCCCACTTTCACTACAAGAAAGCTATATTTCCATTGAAAAAGAGAGAAAAAAACGTTCTAGGTTCAAAGTAATGATCTAATACGTTCCGGAAAGGTCATTCCTCTTATACAAACGGTCACCGATGTATCTGCCGTTATAAACATGGTGTTTTATTGCTATGTGTATATAGATGTCTATAGCTTTAATAACAAAATACTGATGTCTTCTACTACCATGTGATAATTTTTCCTCAGTGTTCGCTAGCTAGTTATCTATATACATTAACTCATGAAGAATTTAGTTTGCGTGAAGCAAATCAAACAATTCTTTCATGAGTGCTTAATCATCTGTTAATGAAAATGAGATTCATCATCAATTATCAATATGTTAGATAGATTTCAATGTTTGAGAACGTGATAATTATTGTTTACCTGAGAAGGTGTCGAGGTTGCCCATATATTCCGAAGTGACAAACTGGTGTTTGATTGCAGTTTTGCCGACACCCATAGCTCCAACAATCGAGACCTGAAACACGTCCTGATCAGGCGCGAGTAGGTCCACAACTTTCTCCTGTTTAGGAGCTGGCTTACACAATGGTGATTGTGTTCTTCTAGTGCTGTCCGATTTACTTAACGAGGATTGAGAATTACTTAAACTAGACCGACGAAACGAGTCACCCCTGTTCACTATTCCTTTAGAAGAGATTTTGAAGGAGCGCACTCTTTGTATTTGTTGTGGCGGTTCGGCCATCAGCGCGTCAACGTGATCCTGTATTTGAGCGGCTTCCTCCGGACTCATCACATTGTCCGGCATGCTTTTTCGCCGGATAGATTCGAACTTCACATGAAGGTATTTTGGTTTTTCCGAGTGTTTAAAAGAGGAGGATCTCGATCCCGGCTCGGAGTTGCAACCTTTCGCATCGTGGGATATTTGGCGTAGAACTACGATATCTGGTAGTACAATCTTTGTATTCCTGAGATCGTCAGTAACATCTTTATCCTCGCACCGGATTTCCGGCCGGTCCCGCATGGTTTCGGTATCAATTTTGGTAAACTTTCCAAATAACACTCAGACAAAATATGTCTAAATACTAAACACAAATGATAATATATAGGCCACTTCTGGCCTTCGCGCAATTTGTTAACACAACTTTCCTAACGTTGCTATATGGTGACTTAAACTGTTGTGAATATGGTCTCACATACAAACTTTAAGAATATTTCCAAACGACCCAACAAAAGCCTTCTATCGTCATGTAAGTGAGAGGAGATAGAGGCGACTTGTGTGCACTATGTTAAGAGACGCTCCGAAGAATATATATATGTATATATAGCTCATCTGCAGCTGCTGTAAACAGTCACGTGACCACAGTGGTCGGGCCTCTTACCGCATGGGCACGCTATAAATTCCGGACTGGTACATTAGTCTGGTCCTGTTTGATGGGTTTGTAATTTCTATAAAGGACAACGAATTCAAATACTTAAGTCTAACGTTGATTGCCATGCTTATCGATAGGGATTTATCACATTTAGTTCAATTAATAAAACAACGCTTGATTAAGGTGACACACGAAATCCCCAAAAGGACATTGTATAAAAGAGACGCATAAATAGAACAAGATCCAGCAGACCTAAAAAGGAGTAAAACTGCATTATACAATTTTCGTCCTTTTAAAGGCTCGTCATACGTATAAAGGTCTGAAAGGATATCAGTATATGTCAAAAGTAATATCAAAATCTGAATGAGGATGAGAATAAGTACATTGATATATTGAATTTCATATTTTTCAGAAGAACGTAAAGTACATTAAGTGAACCGTGCCACTTATAAGGAAAATTAAAACATGGATTTAAGTTGCGACAAACGAGCAAGTTAACACAATATACCGCCTTTTATCTCCATGGATTGTTAAAAAATACAATTTAATACATATAGAAAATTAACAAATAAATTAAATTCCTTTATACAGCTGTTCTTTTCGTCATTTTATGACCTGTCCGCGATGCTTAGGTCTAACGTGGTGGTACAGCTGAACCTCGTTATCTCGAACTCTTATAGCTTCAATAACCCGTTTAATTCTAAACATTTCGTCAGTCCCTGTCTAACTTTAACACAAAACATTCGAATTAACTTAAATATAATACTCGGCTATCTCGAAGTTTTCTCATGGTCCATCGAGTTCGAGATAACGAGGTTCGATTGTAGGCGTCGTATTATAAATAGCATATACTCAAAGATTATACTGAATATAGAAACAATAAAAAGAGGATAAAGTAATGTTCAAATAACACCAAGAGAATGCCGAGGTTTAAGTGGAACAATAATTTTATATCAAAATCAACCAGTGATTAAAAGGTTTTTCGTCATAAAACCCTTGAAACGGTACTTAAATAATAAGACCAGGTGTTCCGGAAGTGTTTCCTGTGCGTCATTGATCTTGCTCGTGCTAAATGAGAATCACGTATATTATAAGAACGCAATCACGAGCCACGGAAAAAGAAAATTCGAGTTAGTAGTGAAAGGTGTATCCGCTAGCACTTACGAGACCAAATACAGTATTCAGTACGAGAGTTTCCAGTCTGCCTTACGCAAATCAATGACATTGGTGATAGGAGTCGAACCCAATGTGTATTCCCTGTGGGCTTTTGATTCACCTTGAAAATGAAATTATCAAACAGACCCATAACCCGTTTCCTGATCATGGAAAATTTATTTGGAGCGCTCACCTTGAGAACGAAATTATCGAGTTTTTTTTAAACGTTTCAAGACTCCCCGGATTTTTTTCACGCTTTTCGTAATACAGAGAAAAAAAGTCGACAAACATCCTTTGCAATATGCTAGGATCGATTTTCGCAGAAGCCAAAAAATGGTTTATCAATGAAGTTGAAGACAACGTCTGCCACCGCACGTTGTATGTAAACACGTGTCAGAAAGATGTCATATCGCTTCTATTATACACTGGTCTTATTCTTATCATCATCTTAGTGTTGTTGGTGTTAGTCTATTCGTTTGATTTTCACAATATGCCACACTGAATATCATGAGTAAAGACTTGCTTCACTCTATATGTCTATATATTGTCAGAATGAACTTTTTCTTCTTTCTAAACAAAGGTCAACATATTTTGTAATGGGTTTTAGCGTGTAGTTATTGTAGTTTTCAAATGTACGAAAAATGTCAAATATGTGTCCGCTGACATACATTTAATGACAATTCATCCATTAAACAATACTGGATACTCGATCCGTCCTTTAAACTAGAAAGTCACGTGTTCACTAACTTATTTTCCTTGTTTATTTTCAGGAGTCTCCGTGTAAATCTTTCTGTTATTATTTTTTAATTGTCCACGACTAGTTAAAAGCTCAAATATACGTATAATTTTACCAAATGTATATTATTCAGAAAGTTTCTGAGAAAACTTCCGCTTAAACACGTGACCAATCACATGTCCACGTGTAGTAGGTGCGTAGGCTGTTAGCTTTCCATTACATGTAGAATGCAAGAGTACAGAGGCTCGCTGATAGTTCGAAGAGGAAAAAGAATCGTGTTTTTGATAAATATCGACCTCTCACAGAAATGTGTAGAGGATTTTCCGACTTCGGTTCGGCAACGATCGTAAATGGAGGCATGTTTAGAAAGAGAGAATTTCAACACTTATGACTTTGGTACAAACGCATGATATCTTCTTCTCACAGATAATCCTCAGATATGTTAATTTTTTACTACATCGGTATAAATAGATTATTTTCCTCTTAGTAAAATATGCATATACCATGACTTTAATCGAATTTGTCTGGATAATAATTCTGCAAACATGTCGTTAGTTTCTTTTGCTTCCATGCATAATATGCTTTAGAAAAGATCTATACAAAGCAACTACGTCGTTACGCGGATACTTTGGAGCAGTACAAGAATAATCAGACCATGTGTCCCGGAATGTTATGCGTCTTCTGCTTTATCAACGACACTTCCCGTGTTATTTTGATCGAAAGTTAGTCATGGCAGGCTAGCAAACTACAAATACTGTACTAATATGTTAATCGTTTAAAATATATTCTTCTTTGTTTTAGAGAAGTAGTATTTTTTTATGATAGTCCATTCTTTCTTATCTGCCCTATAAAGACGTCACCTTCTTCTTTTATCAAACAATATATGTAATGATACAATGTACGGGATCCCCTCCCTACCCAATCGTCCCACACTTGTAATCAATTGATAATGACATGTCTGAACCAACCGATGCCAGTAACGCGATGGTATCAGTATGTAAGCCCCGCCGCGGTGGTACTAGAACATTCCGGACAGTTTCTGTATAAATTTAGCGTACCTTATTTTTCTGTGTGTTTTAGTGTATAATTACCTACCTCAGATCTAATCATACACACGAACTCTGCCGATTGCCGCGTCAATCATTAGTTATTCTCACGTGTCGACTTATAGAAATGTTATATTTCCCGATAAAAGCTGCCATGTCAGGGGTTTTTTTCAGTGTGGGCGTTCAAGGCGAAACAAATGATAAAGATTTCTTCTAATTTCCTAAATAATGATATCGCTGAAATATGACGTATGATGCAGTTTGAGAATATCATTTATGCGTGAATGTCTGTTCAAATCATCGCGAGGACTTTGGGCATATCGCCCGTAACTTATGAAACATAAATTACGTTGTCGGTAGAAAATGTATGGAACATCAACCTTGTCATAAATTTGAATTGGGAAAAGGTTTCGCTACATTACAAAAAAAATAAAACAAAAACAAAAAAAACTAAGTTCTACAATAGCAGTTTATGCCCAACAACCGTCATTATTCAAATTCTGGTTCTAACGTACTCAAATCGATACCAAATTTCAATTTCCCAAAAGTTCGTTTTCGATAAAAAGATGAAATTTGAAATTCTGAAAAATATCTTTCAAATGCATTGTAAACATTATTAAGCATGGAGAGAGCATTCGTGATATTCTACAGTGTAGGTTAGCAAGGCTTGAAGATAAAGACAAGAAATGCTTGCACTATCGAGATGCCTTACTCATAGATTTTATAGAAAGTTTTACAGGGTCGATAACACTTAAAAATGTAACGAAATGATGCCTCTTGGGACATGGCGGACGTGTTTGGCAAACTCGAGAAGAAGAAGATGTTTAGGGATATATATATAGCCTTAAGTACATTTTTATCATAATAACTTCCACCTTGTAACAGTAAATGAAATTGTGTACTTTAGGTCATGACTGAGACGACAAAGTACTGTTCACAGAACATACGCACAAATTGTTCTAAAATATTTATGATTCGTGAGTGTAAATGCAACTAAAAGGGCAAAACGGGATGATAAGTACACGATCGAAACATTCACACAGACATATATAACCTGGAAGGCTGACTGATCAGGTGAGATAAAGGATTCCCTCACCCTGTACAGGTATATCGGCGCTTTTCATTGGTGTGAAATATCCTTAATTCACCTTAGTGTTGAGACGGGGAATTCCCTTGTCAGGTTAATTGTATGACGTCACGGAAACATTTCATCTTAACCCTTTAGTGTATAAGATTTCACGTCACGTCATATTCCTAATAAACCCAGCAGGATCAGATAGAAAAAAAACCCCATTCAACCTCTTGTTGGTGGTGTAGGGGATTTCAACCCTCCGGAAATGATGATTCATTTGCAAACACATGGTAAGCCGCGTGTTTGCTAACTTAATCGTCTTTATCTTTGGGCTGAGTTCGCCTTATCTCACCTCGAAGAGGTGAAAGATTCTACAAATCCCATCCCATGGGGACCAAATCTGAACTAGCCTCGTGTTTGCAAATTTAAGACTTCTCCTCTACGAGGCTCGAAAAATCTATTTCTCGTAGCACTGTACTATGTATAATACACACGAAGAAAACAATACTGACGGCTGCTCAACTACTTGTCTGTGACGTAATGGCTTGTATCATCACAGAGACAAAATGTCAATAAAAACAACAATGTACATTGCACAGACATAGGTTAAGAATCCAGTCATTACCATTCATATATCGCAGGCATCCTCAGCAGGCTCCGACGTTCAGAGAAATAAATGATTACATCAAGAAAAACGAATTCCTGTGTTTCCATCACCGATAACGGTATATTACAGTACTTGCAAAACAATCCGTCAATTTGAAATTTCACTGGCGTGATCTGTGTATTAATATATATATGATATGAATTAATGGAATATGCGTTTTCATCACGATTGAATGTGATTATATATACATTTCTATCGTTTCTGATGTTCTATGTTACGTAAAAACTTCTGTAACTGTC